GTCCTGGAGCCCTCTCGCCGATTCCCCCATCTGCCCGCCTTTATCCCTGGTGTTGCACTGATTTGATTCCCCATCTGCGGAGCTGCCTCTCTCCCTGCTGGGCCCTTCTCCAGCATCATTTGAGAGCCTTCCCTCCACCTCTAGCTCCGATGTCAGTTTCCTGACAATGCATATAACTAAAGAAGCAGGTTTCTAAAAACCATTTTCCTTTGCCTTCCCCACCCCTTTTATTGCAAACACACTCACTAAAAAATATAAATAAATAAATAAATAAATAAATAAATAAATAAATAAATGCTGTTGTGGCCTGCTTCTATTCATAGGCTGCTGCTTGGCACCAACAGAAGAACGCCTCTCAGAGGGCAATGTGCCCATTTGCTCGAAAAATGTTAGTCACCTTATACAACTACTTTGGGAGGGAGGGAAGTAAACTAATAGGGGCTTACTTCTAAGTAGAATTCCTCAGATTGCCCTGTAATTCAACAATTTAATTGTGTCTTAAAAATCTGGGACAAGCGAAAGATCTAAGGTCAGTGCATTTATTGGATATGCCTAAAACAGTATCCTTTGAGGCTTAGTCTTTAATCTGGCACCTAACACACACACACACACACACACACACACACACACACATATAACAGAATGTGAATTGATCTGAAGTCAATAATATCTGAATAGGGATACTAAAATTTCTTTTGTTCAAACATGATGCATTAAACATATATAATATGTATGCATATACATATATCTATAACATACACCATGTACGTTTAATTGCTCTTAAGCAGTTAACTTTACGACACTGTGGGGAATAAATTAACCCTCAGGTCTGCAAGACTTCATTTATTATAAATTCTGGCAAATTCTACTGTTGAGGCTTTCTTGCAGAACAACTTGATGGGGTTGGACTTTCTGCCTGCCCCATCCACCTCTTGGGTAGGTTTTATCATTTCACATTTTGACAACTCTGCAAAAGCAGGTGGGGCTGCTGACTTATTTAATGAGTTTGATGCAGAGATTTGGCTTTTCTGAAATCTGTTGTTGTTTTTTCCAGTTCAGACTGTAAACCTCACCCCATTTATCTGGGTGCAAGCTTCATTGAATTCAAGAAGTCTTTTATTTTATTGCAAAAAATGAAGGTCCCCCCCCTTAATCTTTACATCAGTTTTACCACCATGGCCATGGCTTTATAAGGATTCCCTATTTTCTTCCACCCTTTCAATGCTAATTGTTCCAAGCATCATGCTATTATTTGTGTTGTAGAGATAGAACATGTTCTGGGTTCAAAGAATTGACTAACTGGTATGTTGGCAGTACCGTGCATTTTATTCTGGTTATGCCTAATGGCCAACAGAGCAATCCTATGCATGTCTTCTCAGAAGTAAGCCGCACAGGGTCCAACCACATTTAATTTCAGGTGCCTGTATATAAGATTGCTGCCTATAGGAATAAAACTGAAGCAACCCGAATAATTTAACATGGAAATTAATTAAACATGGTGCTGGCTCAGTATTTGGGTAGAAGATGCCTGGGTGAAATAATTTGCTTTAAGACAGTGGAGGCAGATGTGGAAGGGAATGTTTAGTATGAGTTACTGCACTGAAGTGGAATTTGTGTGTGTAGTTAGCCACTGAGTTGAAAGAGAAGATGTAAGGATCAAGAAAGACATTTTTGGGAGCTGGAACCATATCCTCCCTTCAGATGTTAAGGCGAGACAAGCGAATTTAAGACCTAGCCAAACTGGTGTCTTCCATATGTTGTCTGACACTCCCTTCCCAAACTCCCAGTAGCCCCAGCCAACAACATCTACAGAACACCATGACAAGCTCTAAAGAGAAAAGAAACCCCCCTCTCTTTCTCTCTTTTTCTTTCCCTAAATGATGGAAATATATCAATAGTGATGTAAAAGGAAGGCATAAAAATTAAATTGTCAAAAAGAGAAAAATAAATGTAGACAGCACAAAGGAAAATATAATTCAACCACATCAGAATGATTTGATGAACTTATTACTAACAGTGACTGGCCAAATGTTTCTGAGGAGCCAACTAACAAGGGATGTTTGCTGTGTATCATTAAAATGTTTTAATTTATTTCAGGAACCTATGATGGACAACTGCAGCACAGCCTCTGAGTTCATCCTGGTGGGGTTCAGAGATCTCCCAGAGCTGCAAGTAACATTTTTCATCACTTTTCTGGTGCTGTACATCACCACAGTGATGGGGAATGGTGGTATGATTGCTGTCATAAGTGCTGACTCTCAGCTCCACACTCCTATGTACTACTTTCTCAAAAACTTGTCTTTCCTGGACCTCTGCTATTCCTCCACCATTGCTCCTAAAGCTCTAGTGAATTTTTTTGAGGAGAAGAACATCATCTCTTATGAGGGCTGTGTGGCCCAGTTGATGCTCTTCACCATCTTTGTTACTACAGAAGGGTTTCTTTTAGCTGTCATGGCATATGACCGCTTCATGGCCATTTGCTACCCACTCCTCTATCCAACTAAGATGTCCAAGAAGTTTTGCCATCGTCTGGTGGCCACTTCCTATGCTTGCGGTTGTACAAACGGAGTGATTCAGACAAGTGTCTCTTTCCATTTGAGATTCTGCAACCTCAGCAAAATCAACCACTTCTTCTGTGATGTCCCTGCTGTCATGAATGCTGCCACTACATACACATATCTCAATGAAGCTGTGATGTTCTCCCTCTGCAACGTTATCATTGCCATCACCACAGTGGTGATATTCACCTCCTACACTTACATTCTCTCCACCATTCTCAAGATTCAATCTGCAGAGGGCAGGAGAAAAGCATTTTCTACATGTGCCTCTCACATAACAGCAGTGACCATCTTTTATGGGACAGTCTTCTTTATTTATGCTCAGCCTGCAGCCATGTCCTCCCCAGCTCAAAGCAAAATTGTCTCTGTGTTTTACACTCTTGTCATTCCAATGCTAAATCCCCTCATCTACAGCCTTAGGAACAAAGATGTCAAAGCAGCTCTAAAAAGGACTCTGGGGAAAAAGAGGCTCTTTTCAATGAACAGATAAAATCTGACAAAACCTTATGGGGGTGTTAAATCCCATAAGCCAAGCCAAACCAGAAGAAAATCTACATTTGTAATCAGAACTCTCAATATTCTGTTTAACCCAGGGAAAAATCCTATGGCAAGAACCACTGGGATGACCAACATGGAATCTCTGGCTCAGCTAGCTAACTGATGCCTTAGCTAGTACTGAACTGTTCTGAACATACACCAGCATAAGTTGCTCATCCTAGCTGGTTGAGTGGAAGCTGAGTGAACTCAAGTCTGGTGTAAGCAGTGGCAGTGCTGGGTTATTTTGCACCCTAAGCAAGGCACCTCCCAGCCCTAAAAACTTCTATTTTTAAAAACAGATGTTTTATAGAAAAAAGAAATATAAAAAGAAATTAAAAAATTGTCCAGTAGCACCTTAGAGACCAGCTAAGTTTGTCCTTGGTATAAGCTTTCGTGTGCATGTGCACTTCTTCAGATACACTGAAACAGTAGTCACCAGACCCTTATATATAATGGAAGGTGGGGTGGGGGTTTTTTCAGGAGGGTAGTAGGAGATGGGTGATTGACTCACTACCCTCCTGAGAAAAACCCCACCCCACCCTCCCACTATATATAAGGGTCTGGCGACTTCTGTTTCAGTGAATCTGAAGAAGTATGCATGCACACGAAAGCTTATACCAAGAACAAACTTAGTTCGCCTCTAAGGTTCTACTGGACATTTTATATATATGTGTGTGTGTGTGTGTGTGTGTGTGTGTGTGTGTGTATTGCGTCAGACCAACACTGCTACCTACCTGAATCTAGGAAAAAGAATAATACATCAATTTTTTGATTATCTTTCTCAAATACAAAATAAAATCTTTTAGCAAACAAAATATTTTGAATAATCTTGTGAAGTGTGATGTTAAAATTTAAGTCTCTTAAAAGTTTCAGTTTCAGTTTCAGACAAATCTCCGTTTGCATACCTTTTCCTTTGCAAATTTGGTCACCAATTTATTCAGGTCAAGTGCTCATGATAGGAGAAATAGGAGCTAAATATTCTGCAAACTTCAAAAAATCCTGATTGCTAGCACAGTACAACTTTTCAGTTGTACCACGAAATGCCAAGTTTTGCATGTCAAGGACTCTGACCAAAGCAATCAAGCATTCCAAGATTTGTCGCCAATACTGTTCATCTTGCCAAATTTTCAACTGGTTTCATCAATTGCTTTTCCTTTAGATAAGCACAATTCAAGTTGTCTCCATGTTTGCTAGTTTTCTAAATGGCCAGTGTTGCTCTCTTGTGAAGACAGAATTGCTCCAAAGTTCTTCTTGTCTTTGGAGCCTATTTCTTGTAGGGTTAATGCATCATGTTTTTTACTGTTCACTACTGCCCCAGTACACACCCTCGAAGTTTATTGAATGCTTACCTACAGCAGAGCTTTTAGTGTGGCGGCACCCACACACTGGAATGCACTCTCTGCTTGAAATTAGGGCGGTACAAACAATTTGTTCTTTCAACAACCTCCCTAAGACATTTTTAATCAACTAGGGTTTTTCTTTTCACAGTTGCATTGTTGGATATTGTTTGTGTCCGTTTTACAGATGGATTGAATATATTCTTATTGATTTCATTTTGTATTTTGTTTTTCTTTCCTTTTTGTGAACTGCCACAATAGTGTTGAATGGTGGTAGTTTATGAATTATTTTAACTAACTGACTAATCATTAGATGTTGGACAGTCGGGTGTTCTCTGATTCTCTGATTCACGTTGCATATTTAGTGTAAGAATTGTCAAGTTTAATCTAAAGTGAAATTCAGTTCAAATTTAGAGGTTTTTGCTTAGGCAAAGCAGTCAAGGAATTGGGAGGGATGCTGGAATAAAAACACAATTGGGTTAAACTGGTGATATTTCTTTGGTTGCTGCTGACGATGATTTCCTACAACCATAACCTAAAATTCTTTGCCTAAAACTTCCAAGTCTTGGTCATAGCTCAGTGGTAGTGCACTTGTTTTGTACTCATAAAGTTCCAGGTTGAATCCCTGGTATTTCCAGGTAGGGCCAAAATCCCGAAGAACTGCTGCCTGACAGTGTAGATAATACTGAACCAGATGGACCAATAAAGGCCTGACTTGGTAAAAACACAGCTTCATATATTCCCATGCAATTCTCTCAAATGTTGTTGAACACCTAAAGTATAACACTTTCACTTCAAGTGCTATAAAGTGGCATACATTTTATTCTATGCCCACAACAACAACAACAAAACAGCCAGGACAGCAACACTATGAGGTAGTAGCCTCAAAATGCTTCCAGAATGTCTTTATTTTCAGGCAGGTTTCAATTCCATACCAACACATTCAGATTACACAATTACTATTGACTTGAACAACAACCCACTTCCATACAAGATCAGCATTTATGATAAGGAAAGTGATGCAAAATGCACAGGAAAGTGTCGGACCGCACCTGGTGTAACATGATCTGACTTGCCACCCACCCCCTGCCACAAATCAGAATCAAGGCTTAATAAATAGTCAACATCTAAGTTCCCTGCAAACAAATAAGGATGAATGCTTAATAAATGGGTCGTCTAGAACCACGTGAGATATTGTTACTGACTGAAGGTCACTGACAAAGTTTCATTATGGAGCAAGAATTCTAACCCTGATCTCCCTGGTACTTTGTCACATCAAATGCTATGCTAGACTATGCCCCATTGTCTAGAATTATATTATTATTCAGTTATCAAAATCCTGTAAGTTCATGATCAGATATAAGACACAAGGTCCAGATGAGGAGGATGGAGAGCCTGGGACCAGCAAAATTGTCCTACTTTGCCTTGTAAAGCATGAAAGCCTAATTGTATTGCCAGGGGTCCCTGACACCTCTGTCTAAAAGGCACCCAGGTGAAAGGGCTGGAAACAAATTCTCTGTGAATACAGTGATGGAGTAAACCATAGCAAGGTCCATATGTGAATGTGTCCATTCCTCTACTGAGCAGGGCCCTAACAGCCTGGGTGGGTGGGTGGAAAATTCCTGCAAAGGCAACAAAGAAGGTGGCCTGTACCTGGTCATCCCCCTATGTATACCAGAGGTGGGCTGGGCACAACCCTCATATCCTTGCCCCTGATTGGTCTCATGGGTGATGTCTGCCCACATCTGGAAGGTTCGGCATGGCTGGTAGTGGGCTGCTGCAGGTGGCTACCCACCGCTATCTGAACCGGAAATTGGTGGGGTCCCTGGACCAACCATGGCCATGGTGTGCAGCAAATGCCCACCCCCACCCCGAGCCCCAGGTGAGCAGATATTATACCAACATTTAATAAGAGCTGCTTTTGATGTCAAGAAATGGTACAAGGTTTGAGTGATAATGGCATTTGATTGCTAACTGGCAGAGCTTTGGGTAAACCACCATCCTTTCACCCTTCAAAATATGCACACAAAGCAAAGGGTTAAAGTTCAGAAACATGTAAGCACATTGCAGTATTTAACCAAAAGGGGGCCGTTTCCAGAAGAACTTTTGTGGCTACTTTTGGATGTGATGTTATTGGATATTTTTACTTGGCATATTGGCAAGCTTTATGCTCACTTGTGTGTTTTTTTTTACATATTATTTATCAATATTACTACTGCATTTATTCTTTTTAAATGTGAATCACTTTGAGCACAGCTGTATTTGTGGGAAATGTAGTATATCAATATACTATGCCTACTATAATGGTTAACTTCAAACATTAAAGACTGACAAATTTGAGCTGAACTGTGCTAATACATGTGATTCAGTAGTAGAGTTGATAATTATGTTCCAGCTGCTATGACCCGAGGGAACAAGAAAAAAAAGGAGAGGGTCAGAGGAACTTCAAGCAAACTCCCCAAACATTTTATGACTGACTGATCTTGGGTTGCGGAAGAAACAGTATTACCTCACACATCTAGCATGAGTCTCTATGCATTATGTTCCATCTTTCCTTCACATGCAGCAGACCAGTAATCGAAAGCCTGCAAAGACACCCAGAGAGACTTTTCTTCTCTACAGCTTTGGCACAACCACAAAAAGACTCGCATTGTTTGCCTTTACAAATATATGTATATATATTTGGGGGTGGAAACTAACAAGTTATCCTGTGGATGTACTGCTATGTAAGTAAACTTTGTCAATAACGATGCCAAATCTTTGCAATGCAGAACAATCAAATGACTGCTTTTTTAATATCAGCTAACACTTGACACGATGAATCTATGTGAATTGTTCTTAAAAAAAAAAAGGAGATGTGCATGAAAGTAGATAATTGATGTATAACATTTGTTTTAGAATTTTATAAATCTGAGCAAACGGGATTTTGGTAATGCAAGGCCACTGTTGTGAAATGTCTTCTCACCTACCCATGCCTTTGAATCTCATTTTCATGGGGAGAATTATCTTAAGAACATTTTTCCAACTTCAGAGAAATGAGGCAAAAATTGCACAAATTGTCTCAATTATGTACAGAAAGCAGCATTTTAGTTAGCCATATGTTGCAACAAGTTGAGTGGTTCTTTCAGATTTTTCCTTCCCTCCTTTTTGTTTGTTTGTTTGTGTGTGTGTGTGCACTTGTGCATGCGCTTGCACGTGTGGTCCAGGGAGGTCCTATCTAGCTAGTTCAGTATCTGGCTATCCCAGCAGTTATACAGCCAGGCAGTGGCCGCAGTTGCTGGCTTTCTGCCTGACTGGCTTGCTCAAATTACACTCTGTACAGAGCATTTTTCACTCTGCATACTTCCACCTGTACTGTGGACAAGGAACAAGGTAATGCTTTTCCATTATTTGTTATAATGTTTTTAAGCAGATCAGAGTTGCCTCCTCCCCTGGAAAAAATGTAAGTATTTATGCCCCCTCTTTCGCCCCCCCCCCAAATAAATCAAAGGCAGAGAAACCTGTCACCCATGTCATCCACTCATTGTAATTAAATGGATGAATCCAATTCCTAAAACTGAATAAGAACACCACTGGGTGTATTTAGCATTGCTTATCTAAAGCTAACATTACTTAGAAACATAGGTCTATGTGGCACATTGTACACCATTTTGATGGTCTCAAATAAGTAAGTAAGTAAGTAAGTAAGTAAGTAAGTCCTTCTAGTGAAATGTTGTCAGTACTGACTAGCAGCTTTCTTAAGATTTGAAGCAGGAATCATTTACGAGTCCTGCACCAGAGACTGAAGCTGGGAACTTTTGCAAACAGAGCATGTGTTCTATAACTGTGCTATGGCTTCTTCCAAGTTACACCCCTATGATGAGCTGTAGGTCTTAAAAAGGGAAGGTTATGTTGCTGTACCTTGTCTCTTACAATCCCCTTCTTCCAAAATGATGTACCAGTGCCACTAAGCTTTTTCACTCTCTAGCTCTCTCCACATAAATCCTTTGGTCCCTAGGTCCTGTGTGGTGTTTCTCTAGCGAATAACACCTTTCACACACATCAGAAAATCTGGGTTATTTCTGAACATGCTGTCAAGCATTTTCTTCCCTCAGAAGTTAAAATGTTCAAGACTATCACCATACCTTCAGAGAAACCAATGGCTTCTTTCATGCTCATAATCCTTATTGAAATTATAATATGTGTTGGGATCTCTGCAGATGCAGAGCTGTGCCATTGTTTTCTGACTCAGTCTGGTAAATCTTTATAGACAATGGGATTTTAGCAGATTAAGAAATATGATATGACAAGATGCTGATTTATCTATTAATTTTGAATGTGATTTGGTGCTGAATAATATGTATCTATAAAATTGTGAAATCTGAACTTTGAATATTATTACAGCTCTAAACAGCAACAACATATTATTGAGGATGAAATGGGAGAACAGGACACATACATTTATCCTAGTAGGTTTTCCTGGAGACCCTGAATTGCAGATGTCACTATTTACGCTTTTTCTAATTATCTACACACTGACAATAACGGAGAATGTGGTGATCATTGCCTTAATCTGGATGAACATCAATCTTCATAAGCCTATGTATCTCTTCCTGAGTAATCTTTCTTTCCTGGAGATCTGGTATGTCTCCGTCACGGTTCCCAAAATGCTTGCTGGCTTTGTGGCAGAGAAAAGAGAAATCTCTTTTATAGGTTGCATGGCTCAGCTGTACTTCTTCCTGGCTTTGGCATGTACTGAGTGTGTCCTCTTAGCTGTTATGGCCTATGACCGTTATGTTGCCATCTGCAACCCATTGCGCTATCCAGCCATTATGAGTCAAGACCTCTGTGTTCGTCTAGCAGCTGGATCCTGGTTGAGTGGCTTTTTTATTGCCATGGGGAAGGTCTTCTTCATCTCACGGCTGAGCTACTGCGGACCTAACACCATCAACCACTACTTCTGTGATGTTTCTCCACTTCTCAACCTGGCCTGTACTGATATGTCATTGGCTGAGCTCATTGACTTCCTATTGGCCTTACTCATTCTCCTGGGCCCCCTTTCTGTGACAATTGCCTCTTACTTCTACATCATCTCTACCGTACTTCGCATCCCTTCAGCCAAAGGGAAGCAAAAGGCCTTCTCCACTTGTGCCTCACATCTTCTGGTAGTCACCATTTTCTATGCTGCCTCTCTTTTCATCTATGCCCGCCCAAAAGCACTCACTTCCTTTAACTCAAACAAGCTGGTGTCTGTTGTCTACACAGTCCTCACACCGCTTTTCAATCCAGTCATCTACTGCTTGAGAAATCAGGAATTCAAGGATGCCCTCAGCAAAACAGTTCATGGACCTTCTCAACGTTAAGCATAAGGCAAAGAACTAAGTAGGTAGATGTTTCTACATTGAGACAGTTCCAAATACTTATACAGTGGTACCTCTGGTTGCGGACAGAATCTGTTCCAGAGGTCCGGCCGTATCCTGAAGTTTCCGCAACTGGAGGCACCGCTTCTGTACAGACACATGGTGCGTAGAGCACGTCTGTGCATGCGCGAGTGGCAAAACCCGGAAATATATTTCCGGGTTTGCCGCTTTTGCTAACCAAAGTTTACATTACCTGAGGGTAACGTAAGCCGAGGGTCTACTGCATTTTCTAAATACT